CGGCGGCGGCTAGGGTTAGGGTTTGGATGGAGGCTCTGATACCATATAGAATATGAAAACCCTAATCTTATTCATGAGATAACATGGCCTTATATAGGCCCCTACAACTTACAAATAAGTCCCTAAACCTATTAATATTTCAACAGTCGGCGGCGGCTAGGGTTAGGGTTTGGATGGAGGCTCTGATACCATATAGAATATGAAAACCCTAATCTTATTCATGAGATAACATGGCCTTATATAGGCCCCTACAACTTACAAATAAGTCCCTAAACCTATTAATATTTCAACAGTTTTGATGTGTGGCCTCATTTTAGACTAGAAGCATAGTTTTATCATGCTGCAAAATAATACCCCAGAAAGGCATAAGAAAGTGGAACAGAAACCAAATATAGACCATTGAGACCAGTCAAGGGGTGAGCTGGATTTTCCAATGTATGGCCTGTGGAATTAAAATTTTAAAAAACAGCAGCAAGAATAATAATAAAAGAAAAATAGAAATAAAACAACAGCAGCGGCAGCAAGTAATAAAACAAAACTTAGACATAAATCAAAAACCTTCATGTGCATTTGCACTCAAAGAGATGTTGGATTTAATCTAATAAATCTATTTGTGGGCACATATGATTAATCAATGTGTATTGCTATCTTTCAGGATAACCCACTAAAGTGATCAATTAAGTTGGGTTAATGGGTATTTAAATATAATCATGGGGTTATATGTGCAGATACCAGGTTGTAATTGTGATTTATTGAGGGGCTAAATTACAAAAGTACAACATCTATAAATAAGGGGTTATGGTCCCTAACCTAGGGTTATATTCTCTAATTCTCTACACCCCCATCTAGCTAGAGAAATTCAGATTTAGAGAAACCCTAAGGTTAGAAGATCCAAAACCCATCTCAAGGTTCATCCATGGATTCAGGTATAAGCTTCCGCTCATTTATGATTCTTGTTAATCTCTTTGAATTAATCATGGCTATATGGTTTTAGATCTTAAGTTTTGGTTTAGATCTAACAAGTGGTATCAGAGCCACCTTGATTAATTCTTAGGGATTTAAGTTTTATTGGGTTTTTTGATCTTAAATCTCTGGTTAAAGATTCAATTTTTTGTTCGGGTGAACAGTAACGAAAATTTTCGGATGAACAGTAAAGTTTTTTGTTCGGATAAACAGTAAAGTTTTTCCGGATGAACAGTAACTGAAAAATCGCCGGTGAACAGTAACTTTTTAGAATTTTTTTGATTTTTCGGCGGTTTTTTTCTTGGATCTGGATCAAGAAAACTCATTTTTCGATTCTAGATCTGTTTTTTGTTTTAATGGCGGC